TGCGGGACAGGGCGAGCCTGCGACATCTCTGAGGGGGACCCTCACACTCAGTGGTGGATTGGCCGCAGGCGCGCAGAACTCGGGTCACAGCACCGCGGGACAAAGGGGCAGCATCTCTCACGGCAGCGGGACATCAGAGGTTCGGCCGCGAGGTTGTACCTGCAGGGTCAATGGGCTCACGGCCGGCTGTGAGGATGCTCGGGTGGCTCTGGGTACGAGGGAAGCCTGGGCAGGAGACAGGACCTTGTCCTATGCTCAGCCTCACGCCCCCATTGGAAATCCCACGCAAAGCTCCGTCAGCTGCACTGTCATCCACCAAACCACCCGACTTCTCCTGCCAGTTGTATTGCTCTGCTGTGTTTTATCCCCAGCGCTGGTGTATTAATCATGTCCTTGGGTTAGGCTAGGCTACCTTAATTGTAAAGTCACTGTTATGGCTATCTGCACATTATTTACAAAATAGCTCATTAGATATTTTTTATAAATATTACATGGGGCTACAGAAGACTTTGTGATGATGTCTCTTGACATCTGTTTATTTTATAAGAGATCACAGAGTTTGCTGCTATTCTGCCTGGCCTTGGAAGGAAGCTTCAGCACTTTGATGGAACCCAGTCCCAATTAAGACTCAATTAGAGACAGATGAATATTTCATAATGAATAATGTGTACACAGTAATTCACCTCTTTTCTGCATGCACAGCTTGCAATTTTCTCAAGTGAATTCTTTATTCAAATTATTCACAGAAAAACAAGTATAAATAATTCTTGTTCCGCACATTCTTCAATAACTGTCGCCACAAACCTTGCAGAGCTGGGTCAGCTGGATGCAAGCAACTGATAACACTGGTGTGACCTATATGTTCAAAAATCATCACTTAGCTTCCCCAGATCATCAGAGATGTGGAAATCTCCAGATAAAGAAATGCTGGATCCTTTTAATTTGCCCTCTTTGTTCTGACTCCTTGAGGACTTTTGAATTTAATTTCCAAGCTTTTCTCCACAACATAAACGGAAGCCGAAACTTTCATCTAATTACGTTTCCACACCTCCAAGGAAAAACCGAATACCAAGATGCTTAGGATCAAAACAAGAGCTGATGACCCTGAGGTGAGTGAGTTTCTTCTCTAACTGGTTCAGTAAAACCCTCCAGTGAACATTTGTACCAAAAATTCATAATTACACTCTGTTTTGGTACATTTGCTGCAAGAGCTGCTTAGAATTTGCTCGCTCTGTCTCCCAGTGACACCTCCACTGCGTTATTCACTGCGGAGGCACACAAGGAGTGGAAACATGTCATATGACTGAGCAAGTCCCACAGATATTTTCTACTTGCTCAGCTTTTCTTCAAGCCTGTCATCCAGTGATCAAGGCTCTCTGAAGTTTGCTGTTGTCAGGAAAGATTTTGGGTTGGGTTTTTTTGTTGGTTGTTTTCTTGGGTTTTCTTCCTAGGCTAGGGAAAAGATCACTTACCCGAGAAGAAAGAGAGCAGCAGCAGGCTGAGAAGCACTAAGGCACCTGTTGCCTTCATGCTGCAGGTAGCTCTTTAGTCCAAGCCAAGCGATCTGTGCGGGAGCTGTCGTCTCAGCATCAGAGCCCACAGTGTGCACACAGACCTGCCTTTCTGTGTATTTATGTACCCATCTGTAGTTGTCCTCATTCCTCCACCTTAATTGTGAGAACTTCTCCACTTCGTTTCTAAAGCCATTATTGGTCCCGGACACATTTATGGTGCCTTAGGAATGCTGCCCTGTCCACATCAAACCTTAAAAGGGCTAATTATATGAGTGATAAATGGGCTTGTAATTTTTTTTTTTTTTTTCTAAATAGTCACAGGATTCTCACAAGGGTGAATTTTCAAAGCGGTGATTCATCTGGGAAGCTGGTAATTTTCATTCTCTGGGTCCTCTCTGAATGCCAGCTCCGAGGCTTTGAGTGCGGCGTGATGACACTCACTAGACGTTACGAAATAAATCCCAGCATGAGAACGTGTTGTCTGTGAAACCAATTATACGTTGTTCCCTGGCTATTTTTGAGGATGGTTCTAAATTTGTTGGGTTGGGGTGGAGAAGCACTCCAATGTGACATGCTCTCATAGCTGTGTGCACAGTCCCAGATAGGACTGCTGACTCTCCTCCCTGAACTATTTAAACTCTAGCTGTCAATGTTTCCCAGTTTTTTTGCATTCACAAACATATGTTAGGGCTCCGCTCCCACAGAAAGCGCCAATGAAAGTAATTTGATGGGGAATTAGGAGACCTGAGCTCTATTTCCAGCTGAGTCTGTGCAAGGATCTGTGTTCAGCTGCACCATTTGTGAAGTATCTGATCAGAACAAGCTTAAAAATTGAGTATGCTTTCCTAAGGAGACAAGGCTTAGGAAAGCAACATGTATAGATACTTCCATTTATTAGCTCCCTGTTTTGAATCTGCAACTAGTTCCAGCCAGATCTGACACAAGAGTGAAAAAAACCAACACCAAACCAAATCCAAAACTAAGGCATTTCTTTTTAACGTTTTTCTAGCAACAGAGGAAAGATGCTACTAGCGCCCCCTGCCATCAAGGGAGACAGCTTCTGCAGGAGAAAAATGTTATGAATGCCCTATACCTGGGGAAGCATTAGAGCTTGCATCTTGCTAGACATCTTAAAATCCACACAGCAGAGAAACCGTGACTGACAGGTAAATTCTCAGATGTCTATTAAGGGTGAGCTCACGATGCAGCCTCACATATAATTTAGTTATCAAGTCAGCCAGCTGCAGCGCCGTTCAAAACCACGCTTAGTTCTGCCACTCACAGCACTACTTGTTTGCCTTTTCTAGTTTCATACGTCACTGCTCACGACCACAGCCTTTAATGCCTCAGTCCTTTATCTACCCAAACGTCTCAGTTGCTGCAGCATAACTGACTGGCTAAAGCCTTGTCAAACATACCACAGGGACCAACCCCTGCTAAGGAGATGGAGGGAGAGACTGAATTACCAGGGAGATGCTTATGGTTATTACCCCTTTCCACTTCTTTATGCCACCTGAAACAGGGCACTTGCTAGTGCACGTGAGGTAATTCTTCTGTCCCTTTGACTTCTCTGAAAATCAGGCACGGAAGGAGGGTACCTGGACCTCGTTTTGCAGTTTAAGGGGTGCAGCTGGGCAGAGTCTTGCTGGTATCAGGCCAAGTACTTGCCTGTGCTGGGCCAGTCTTCAGTCTTATGTGATGCCAACCTTTCCATCTGCTGAAGGGTTCTTGCTTAGAGGCTCATGAGACATTAAGATCCAGTTATATACCCAGTGCTTGTCATTTGCACTCCCTTTCCCTGCAAATAAGCAGCTCTTCTTTGGGCTTTTTTTAATACCTTCTGAGCTCCTAAGCTTCTCAGACAGAAGCTACCACTGTGGAGGAGGCTCCATGTACAGTCTTGCTGTTGAAGACAATTTCTGGATACAGCCAAAACTCCACTAGTCTGCAACAGCTCTATAAACCCCTTGGCCAACAAGCAACTACAGCAGAGCTCTGTCCTGTGCTGGGAGGTCTCTGTTCACATCCAGTAGCTACTTAGACTGTCCCTTAATTATTTTTCACACATGCAAGAAGGTAAGCAGTGAGGACTCTCGTGACTCTCCAGTTTGTCTTAAGAGCAGGCACAAAGGCATGATGTGATTTATTCTGCCTGTAGAAACAGGAAAAAAAAACCAAACCAAACAAACAAACCTGAAAATAAGAAGTTTCATCTCTCTTCGTAGGAGAGAGTACTGCTCTATGTTGGTACTAGGGGAAGAGCAAGCCTCTTATCTTCTGGTGGGAAGCACCTACAAAATTCCTGGTCAAGAAATGATCCACTTCAGGAAACAAGACCCAAATAAAACACTTAGAAGTCACAGATTTTGTCCTGGATATCAGCCTCAGCAACAAATATTCTTGCTACATGACAGGAGAACAGCAGGTGAAGAAAGGAAGAGGAAGGGATTGTGTGAGCCACAGCACTTGGGATTTTTTGCCTGTGCTGTTTGCATATTATCTCCCTGACTCACCCAAAAACATGGCACATCATCGTGAACATTCATATATATCATTGCTCCTCCAGTGCACTCTTCAGGCTCCCACAAAGATGTTATCTCTGTACCTTCTTTTCCCCAGAGAGAAAGCATCTTGGAGCTACCAGCACATCTTCTGCCCCTTCTTTCCTAGGGTTAGAAAATCCAAGATATCTTCCTGAAGGGTCCTCTGACCTAACTGCCTCAAAGTACAACTTTTTCAGATCTCTTCTCTGAGAAGCTGAACACCTGAGCCCAGTCTAATTTCTCCTCGGGTTCTCATTAGGCTCATTACAGCCTTGCCCAGCTTGCTGCAATTTTCTGCTGATCAACATAGTCTCAATAGACACACCCTTCAAGGAAGCAGCAGTTCCTAATTTTCTTCCCTATGAGATAGCCTCCTCCCTTTGCCAGAAGCCTCCTTTTTATAATGAACTGCCAGAGTTGCCCCTTGCCCAGGTCTGACCAAGTAGGGCTGATCCCAGCCATCCTTCTCTTTCACACTTCCTCAGGGCCATCCCCCCATGCTGGGGCCCCCAAAAGGAGCAGTTCCTTCAAGACTTGGTGTTGTTTCAAAGACAAATCCATTTACACTCTGTAAGACACCGAAATTAGGAAAGTGGTGGTATTTTATAGCAGCTTGATTTCTCTTCTGATGGTTTGGTACAGAGTGACGTACTCTCATGAGGGCTTGGGCTGGTGTGTGATGGGTGTTACACATGGCTCTTTATTGTGGTTTATTTCACAACTTCTCCTGTCTGACAGATAAGTACCTAAAAGCCTGAAGTCCATTACCTCTGCCCTGATAAATAAAAACTCCACAAAAAAAAAACAGTCAAAGGGAGTGGCTTTAATTTATTGATCAATCAAGGTGGAGACCAATAAGCAACGGTCAAGGGAGCAGGGAAGAGTGTGTTTGATTGCAGGATTTGTGAGCAAAATATCAGGGTGAAGGGTCTGGCTCCAGCACTCAGCATTGACCATGGTGTTTGAGCGACAGGGCTCCCCGGTTCCTCCTGAAGAGAAAGAGGAAGACCAAAATTACAGATAGGGATCTCAGTTTTATATTTACCCGAATAAGCTAATACTCTCGTTCTCTCCAAGTCATAAAACATGTCACTTAATTTTTCACTTCTTTCCTGATTCCCCAGGTTACACACTTTCTCATGTTAAAGAGGTTTGGGACAAACCCCATAATTTTGTACACCTCCTACAGTCACAGTTTAAACCACTCTGGCAAGGAGAGAGTCAGCAACCCTATGAGCCTGCAAACAGGGGTCTGGATTTAATTGCCAGGCAAGGAGAAGACTCACCTGGGCTTAAGATCTGCGGTGCCTGGTGGGTGACAGAGAAGTGAGCATCGGGAGAGGAGCATGGAGCAGGGCTGGATTTACCAAGGGGCTAATGGGGCTTCCACACCAGCTGCCACCACTGTATGTGTGCTCTGATTTTGTGGCTACATGGTGAGCTCCATACTTACAAAACTGCGTTGCAGAACTGGCACTTGTTTCCATAGGTTTTGCCATCGGTGCCACAAAGGGGATCATACTCGGCGGTGCACATGGGATTGTTGCCATCATGTTTGCTGCAGTCTATCTCCTGATAACGGAGAAAAAACACATTTTAAAGCTTTTTTTCCCTCATATTTTCCTGCATAATTTCCTTATGTTTATTTAATGTTTATGACATGGCAAAGCACAAAAGCACTTTTCAGGTAAAGGACTCTGTTGTTTGAGCAACTCTCAAACTCAGGGGTAGAGAACATGCTTGCCTGGAACAAATGAAGGAGGGAGAAGGGAGGGGTGAAAAATCCAATAAATATAAACAGTGCAATGGCCAAGCTGATATTTCCAGGCTGGCCATCCCACTGGCTGCTCTGGTTCGGCAGGCTAATGCACCAGGAGGGTACAGGCCTTTCTACTATTTATTTGTAATCCACACACACAGGATCACACAGACCATTAGGGGTTGGAAGGGACCTCTGGAGATCATCTCGTCCAACCCCACTGCCAGAGCAGGTTGCACAGGATGATGTACAGGCAGGTTTTGAATATCTATATAGATGAAGACTCCACCACCTCTCTGGGCAGCCTGTTCCAGCACTCTGCCACTCTGAAAGTAAAGAAGTTTCTCCTCATGTTTAGATGGAACTTCCTATGTTCAAGTTTGTGACCTTCACCTCTTGTCCTGCCGCTGGGTACCACTGAAAAAAGGCTGGCCCCACCCTCCTGGCACCCACTCTTTAAGTATTTATAAGAATTAATAAGATTCCTTTCAGTGTATTTATGTTGTTAAATACAAATTTTATAGTTAAGGGTGCAGATTTCTGTGCTTTACCTTGAAGCACTCTCCAAGATGACGCAGGTTTACTTCCAGTCCATTCCTTTGGGAAGAAAGAAAGCATGTTGAGAACGAATGAGCATAGCGCAGCCGCTTCAGGCACCAAACTACCTCGTTATGCTCTAAATACCAACAAGAACACCTACTGATCCAGAAACGCCTCCCGCGACCCAGCCCCTTCGCTTACGCCACAGCGCTGCAGAACTTGCACTTGTTGGCGTAGGTGACCCCGTTGGTGCCACAGATGGGCATGTACTCCATGGTGCAGGGGGTCAACTGACCATTTCTTGACCTCAGGTAGCCAGTACAGTCGAGCTGAAATAGTCAAGGAACAACATTTTAATCTCTGCTCCCCTTTACCTCAGTCCTGTGCAACAGAGCATGGTGCAAGAGACACCTCCCCAGAAGAGCTTCCAGCCCCAGCGCGGTGGAGTTGGAAGAGGACAGTTGAAATCCTGCACATGGGCACAGCACGATGCTGGAGTTTTCATGGTTTTTCCTGTCATGAAATGGCCTTCATCCCTGCCATCTTGGGATTTTCACCGTGAATGTCACCATGAAGGATCTTTGCATAAAATGCTTCATGCGGCAGCAACTTTTGCTGCGAAATGTCAACGCCACTTGAAAATGAAGTTTACGCTCAGTGTGTCTGTAGTTGCTCTGAGTGTATTGAAATTGAAGTTGTTTTATTATGTCCAATTGCACAGCCGGAGTGTTTCTCTGCATTCTCTCTTAAAGTAAAAATAGAGATACTTCTCCACTTCATGGCAGCTCCATGTTATTAACAAACAAACTTTATGGTAAATGTGCTGATAGAATCATTTTTTCTGTTATAAAATTGTGATTTAGTAAAAATCCAACCTTCCTCTGGGAATTTATCAGCTTCAACAAGCCTCTAAGTCTAAAGAGAAATGTTTTGATAACACTGAAGCATTACTGAAATCAAAAGTTTCCATTCTTAAGTTTGGTGTTATACACAAGATAACATTTTAAAACCCATTGATTTTAACTGTTCAAACAAAATTTAAAAGAAATTCTTGCAAATCTGAAATTTGTCATTTTCTTTCCATACCTGACAGTTTGGAATTGTGTGTTTTCACTACAAAATTAACCCTAGGCAAGGTTTCTGTTTATGTCCCTGCCCTCATTTCACCCACCACTGCTCAGCGCAGCAGCAGGAGGAACCGATGTGTACCTTAACACATCTTCCATCGTGCTTCTTGTCGATGGCTCTGGCTCGGTTACGTCTAGAGGGAGAGAGAGAGGAGGAAAAGGATTAATCTGTTCATACCATGTAGTCACCTCACTCATTAAGTCTCTCCACTTGTGAAGTCCCAGTAATTAATCAGATTCAGGAGCTTGGGCACAGAAGATCACCGGCATTAGGGAAGACAGAAACGTATAAAAAATCTAGTCCACTCCACAATTAGTCACAAGCCCAAAGGCTTTTGTCTGCTGCTGGAACTGGCATTGTGGGTAACTGTGCGACCTTGTACTCACAAGAGTTCTCTGCAGAGGGAGCACTCGTTGGGGTAGGTCACCCCGTCGGTCCCGCAGACAGGTTCGTAGTTGCGGGGACAGGCAAGGTCCATTTTCACAGACAAATGGTACGAGCCACAGGACGCCTGTGGAAGAGGATTTGTAATTTCTCCAAAGGGAGAGAAGGACGTGTTTGTGTTAGTCATGTTTTCATTATGCTGGAAGACTACTCTTGGTCATTTTTGTCCTCTATCATTCCTTCATGGTGAAGAAAAGATGAAGTAAAATATACTGTGTTTCTTACTGCATGCAAAAGCACTTTTTGTTATTAAGACTTCCAGTGCTTTCAGCAAGAATTGCAGGCAAAAATGATCATTCCCTGGGCAATCAAGACAGGCAATTTAGGCAGTTATTTAGTAGTTGTATAGATTTTCTGCTGGCAGCCTGTACTGTACTGACTCTCACTCTGCATTATTAATCGCTGTCTTTTTTATCATCAGCATGGTAAGATATCTTTCTCTAACAAAGGGATTTTCCTATTTTGGGGGGAAGAGGTGGTATAATACTTAGGGGCAGTTTTCCCTCTTTCTTTCTTGGTCACTCTCCTTTTTCTTTCTCCCTCAAGCCTTCCCTGGGAACGCAGTGTGAATATGAATTATTCATCTAGACTTAGAAATGAAGACTAAATGACAAAGAAGATCTACTACTCACCCGTTGTTGAGCAATAACAATATCTACAATAAAAACAGAGATTATAAAGTATAAAAAATGTACAATGTCCTTGACTAAAATGCTTTTGGAATAATCAGAGTAACCAAATACACTTTCTTATTACTGAGAAGTTATTGTTTTTCCAAATGTTTTATTTACTCTGACTAAACAAGAAGTGATGTGGAAAGATTAAAAAAAAAATCAATTATTTGTGAAACCACTAAGGAAGTAATAGAACATAAACTGTTGTCTTTTTGCAGCACTATTACCACCACTAAGGCTCATAAGCTTAAATCAGACAAATGCATTCTACCAGTCTGTAGTATTTATCTGCACAAGGACAAAGTTCATTAAAAGAGAGCCTGCATATTACTAAATCACATCTCCAAAAGGCTGAACTCTCCTTTAGGTGGTATATATTAAGGCAAAGGTTCAGGAGGTCTAGAGATAGTAGCACAGACTCTAACGAAAACAACTTACCAGAAAGGCAGCTGAGAAGCATAAGCCCAAGAAGGGCGATGCTTCTTGTTTTCATAGTAGAGATGGTTGTGTAGTATGTTATTTGCAAATCTGTTGTTGAGTTCAGTAGATGGTTCTCAGCCTTCTCTGCCCTCATTGTATATATATACATCTCCCTGACCTTGTGAAATCATCTCAGAAAGTAATTATTTGCTCTGTAAACTAAGAAAATGGTATTGATAATTGACTTGAGCTCTAAAGAATACTTGTTTGTTAGAGAGATGACCAGAAGAGTTAAACAAAAATGTGAGCTACACCCAGCTTGTTAACAAAGGCGCCCTGCCGTACAATGAGTGATTTGTACTTTCCAAACAAGAGCACTGTCTCAATAGTAGATGTTGTGAAATTACATATGGAAGTTGGTAAAGCAAAAAAGCCCATTTGTTGAAAGTGTTGGAACCTCTGCACACTGTACTAGATACACTTAGGCAGTGTTTGGCCTCCAGGAGATTTGCATGGTACACCAGAGTGAAGGGACAGCAGCCTGGGACATTCTCAGCTTTTACAGATGTAAAATTCAGGGTTTAGCAGGCTTCAGTGTACTTTAAAGATGCTGAAGACTCAGTGATTTTCTCCACGGTCTCTCCTGCAGTTTTCTGGTATGTCAGATTTCTCACCAACAGGAAGGAAGCCATCATCACACCAGGAAAGCGTTACCTAAAATTTCAGAAGTTTAGAAAACAGAAAAATGTATATGTAGGAGCAAGAGTTGTTAATCTGTTGGCAATGGTCATGAGAATAAGTAGTCTTAAATCTGGACTTGGATAATGGCAAGCAAATGGCATTGCGTGCAGGTGAAATGGGCTTCCTACTACCAAAGACATTCAAGAAAAATTTGCAACAGCTGCAGATAGAAGGTAAGTCCCCAGGCTCCTCCCTTCCCCCTCTATTACATGGCATTAAATTTAGAGTGTCAGCTGAAAGTCACATTTTAGGGACGATAAGTGCTAGGTTCTGTTAAGTGGTTCAACCCTATCAATAGTGTATGGAAAAACAAATAAGGAATATCACATTAAATAATACATTTTTGATTTAAAGTAGAAGCAAAAGAAACCAAGAAAGGGAACATATTTGTGCTTCTGAAGAAGCTTGATTCATATATGGAGCAGCCCGAGTTCTAAATAGAAAAGCAGAGTTGTTTTTCTTGTTATCCTGGGAGATGTTCAAGTCTTTGCATGGGCAGATAAAACACAAAAATGTAGCTGATAGTGTAAGGGAACTGTAGTCACAGAACTGAACTTGCGGGATTTGTCCTGTTTATACCAATGAAATAATTTTCCAGAAAAATAAGTGACTAATGCTCTTTGGATCTCATTCACAAATATCAGAAGTTAAAGCATCCCTTTGAAAGCTGCTTCTGTCATATTCTTAGCATCCTGAGTGACTTCACTTTCAGATTCCTTGAGATGATTTTAAGCATATTTGGAAGGGAAGCGGTATTCGCAAGGGCATTAATATTGATTACTCTCAAGGGGTAAGAATGCCTGAAAACAAGGCTTTAGAACTTGCACCAGCTGCCCATGGAGATGGCACTTGCTGGCTCTGTGATGTTTAGAGAGACTACAGGAATGTAGTCTGTCTCCTCTTCATCCCTGCGACCCAAGCTTCTCTATACCCACCTCCAGATCTGAGATCACCAGCTATGAGAAACTGTGCTACTTCTCCAGTTGCCTCTCCTGCCAGGCTGAAATCACACCAGTCACTCAGGAGCTGTTAGGAATGTCAGAGTATCTGCTAGGGAGCAGCATCATTCTCGTGTTTGGCCAACACCTGCCCTTTGATTAATTAGATCCGCTGGGAAGATCCCCCTCTGATCCATGTGCTGCTCCTGAGGGTCTAGGGCGCCAGCCAGGGCTGGTCCAAGAGCAGCTCTCTTCCTCCAGTAACCCCTGCCTCTGCACAAGGCAGCAGGGAGAAGAAGAGAAGCAAGGAAGGGGTCTTGCCACAGGGTCTACAAGAAAGGATGGGAGATAATTGGTAGCGGGCAGGGCAGGGCAGCCAGAGCTGCTGGGTGAGGTGTGATGTGGGATTGCACAAGGAGCTCACTTAATAAGAAACAGAGGGAATGGGACAGAAGTAATTGTGGGGCAGCAGAAGGGTTGAAAACAGGCATTAGGGGCAGTCACAACCAGCTGCCTCAATGCATTTCAAAGAGTGAGCTTCAGGAAACGTCATACAGCTGTTGCAAACGGGAAGGGAAAAAGAGAACTCACCTGCCAAAACCTTCTGTGATATTCAAAAACACCATGATGGTGGGCTCAGTAAAGTGACTTTGGGCACAGGATTATTTTAATGTTTCTACAGATAGGAGAGTCATAGAAAAGTTTAAATAAAACTCTTTGTGTTATTTCAAGTTCCTAGAGGGCAAATATTCAAGAGCGTTATGACCACATAAATGTGATAAACATTAGTAGTTGTATGACTTGTATTAAGTTGTATTAAGGTAAATTTCCAATTACTTTGAAAATTCTACCCAGTTTCTAATCTAGCATTATTTCTTCCCATAGCAGTGATATTTTCACGGGAATCTTTTCCTCTGATCTCGAGACTTCCTATCTTAAACAAGTCCATAATCTACCATGACCTAAAAGATCTTCATTTATGTTCCCTGCTTTAGTTTAAAATTTGTCACAGGCTTCATCTGGCTACAAAGGGAAATGCTCCTTTTTAATTTCTTTTTTGAAAATAAAGAAGGCACATGTTTGCATAAAGGACCCCGTGTTGTTATCCCAGCAGCGGTGTTGCTGTCCTTGCTCCCGTATCCTGCTGTTGCACGCCACACCGTAATCAAGAATAAAGCAGCACTATGCTCCAGTCTGTGCTACTGCAGAGACAAATGCAAAAGGCATTTCTCTGACGTTGACTAGCGATGTGGCACACTGCAAGAGCTCCCAAAACAGGTTGTTGTTCCCAGACCTCTGCACACGGGGGCAGAGCTGGATCTTCTATGAGAACATGAATTCAATTTGCAGCAAGCAAAGCCTCTGCTCTAAGCCTCACTCGTCTAATATTTCTCCTTGTAGTTCAGCTATCTGATTGCTGCCTGCATATCTCCAGGCTTTTAAGCATAGATGATATCACAGGCAAGGGTGTCTGGAATAATTCGACTGTCTAGGAGCAGCATACTGACAGCAAAAGGCTGAGGATCCGGCCCTGCACATCCCAACCGCTCAGCGAATCTCAGCTCTGCCTTGCTTCAATAGCTCCGACACAGCCAGCCCCGAAAAACGACGTCTCCAAGTAATTTTCTTTTAAAATATCATTTTATTTTTCTCTGCATCAAGAAAGAACATAGTAACAAACCGTTTATCCTGAATGAAGCCTCAGAGAGAAACTGCATTAACAGAAAGGTCTAGACTGGCCTGAGGTGTGTATTGGCCAGCAACAAGTAGAATAATACACCGAAACACAAGCACTGATATAAAATAGAGCGGAACGAAATAACTTCATGCAATGTGTTAATCAGGTTGTGGGGTAATTGAATGGCATTTCCTAAATTCACAAACATCAGATAATGACATGAAGTGCCGAGGTACTGCTTAAAGAATTGTACCATAAAATACCTTGGCAAGCAGACAACGTTTCCTGCCTTGAATTTCCTGGAGGGAGAGTTAGATTAGTAATGGTGAGAGGATTTTGTGTTGTGGCAGGATTTTATTGAGCTGCAACAAAAAAAAACCCCTATTTTCAATGAGGCGCCCGTAAAAGAGAGCTGTCCTCCTCTCCATCCTAGGGAGCTGCCTCCCTGGGGCAGGGGGTCTGAGGTGCTGCTGGGTCCTGCTCTGCCCTTGGTTACTCCTGAGTAACACCCCATGGCCCTGTGTCAGGCTGGAGGACTTGTCCTCGTTCACTTCTACTCACAGTTTCCCCTCAACTGCCCAGTGGATTTTCCTCTTCAGTGGACGTGGCCACTGGGATTTTGAGTGCGATCAGGAGCTCTACTTGTCTCCAAGGCATCGTAGCTTCTGAGTCCCACCCTCATCCTCTCTGCTGCTCCCCAGAAAAGAAACTAAGTACTGGAGCTGGTGTTTTCTTACCCCTGGCTCCCTCACCTGTTGGAGCAGGACGAGAAAGAGCATGAAGCCCCTGAGCCACACACCCACTGCCCAACATCCCAGAGCCTCAATCTGTCTGGATCCCAAGAAATTGCCTCTGACACTGAAACGCCTTCCCGCACACAGACCTCCCTCTCACAAGAGGGACATTCCAGCCCTAGGAAGTGACTTGGCACTAAATGGTTGCAGAGAGTCACGTCTTTTGGAAACAAATTGTCTCCCTTCAGAGAGCTGCTGTCTCCAGTCTCTGGAAAGTGACACATTGTCACTTAAGATCATTAACTATTTGACTGTGAGACCGCTGCCTGTACAGCATGCCACACTGACAGCGCTTTGCTGTTAATGAATAATAAATTAACGCTGTGACTCCGAGCCCTTCCTTTCATCAGATGAGATTTCCAGAGGCCGAAGAATCTCAAAGGATCCTCTACAAGCAACAGTCGATGTAATTACGTACAAGCAGCAGCTAAGTGGTGGGCGAGGTGTAAAAATGGGCTGCAGTAGCAACTGCTAGCAGTCCTCCGAGCAGTGGGCCTGTTAGGACTGACTGCCCACTGGTTTTCTGCAATACCCTGCCGTGATGAGCACTGCAAACCCACACGTGGGCAGCCAGATAACTGCCTGCCCAGAGAAATAATCCTGTCCTATTGCTTTGGGAAGTAGAGCGGGTTGCAACAGTGCTTCTCTCCCCTAAAGGTGTGTTTCCAACCCTGCTTGCAAGTAGAAAGGATGCAGCTGGGAGACCACCCCTCTTCACCAGTTCTCTTGTGGGCACAAGATATTGGGGCTAATCCTGGGAACTGAAATGGGAATGAGTAACTGAAATGGTGCCAGCAAGTCCCTCTGGGCCTCCGTGGCTTTTGTAGAGCAGCCACAAAACATCCCCAAATGCAACAATCTTGGGACTGTCTCTAATGGCATGTATGTTCTGGTTTGTTTGGGGCTTCTTCATGCTGCTGAAATCTGCCATACAGCAATGGAGGTGTGAGGCAGCAGGTATTGGAGAGCAGTGCTAGGGAGGCGGTTCCTCTCACCCAAGTGAAGTGTCTGTCTGAGATGCCCTTAGTAGAAGAAATGGACTGGATCCTTGCAGCAGGATGTGTTTCCAGCCCTGATTTTCTTTTGGAAAGCTGGATGAAGGCAGAAGCCTTCAGGATCAACCCATTGCCTTTGCAGTTGGGGTTGATTTCTTTGTAGATCAGAACAATGTATTCCTTCTCCCTGTAATTTGCCCATTAATACCCATTAACAAACCCCAGGGTTGTTGCAGTGATGTGATCATGCAACATCTTAGGTAAGAACAGGAAGAGACATATTATTAAAGCAACATGTAAATGCTGATGGCTATTTTTATTAAGCAGGGGTTTCAACATTCATCATGAAGTTTCAAGGTTCAGGACAAGGCTTTAGGGGAGCATCTACCATGTGGAGCATTGCCAGGGAGGATTCCTCTGTCTGAGCTGAAGCCAGCTGAGAAGTTAACACTCTCCAAGATAGCTCAAGCGAAGAGTCTTACCGCTTCTCCTGCAGAGAAAGAAATCTGTACCTTAGAGACAGAACATCTGGGCTTTTACTGTTTGTCTCTCCCTCTGGTGAAAGGTATCTTGTAGAGTAACTTAACCAAAACAGAAAAATTCTGAACACTATTCCAGCTATTTTCTTTTATTACTAACATTCAAAGACAAGGATAAAGACTTAATTTAAAAGAAGAACAAGTAATCTATAGGTAAAAGTCTTTGCCAGAAGAAAGCTTTTCAGCAATTACCTATCAGAGAAATAAAAAACACTAGTAAATATTACCTGTTTATTCCTGAAAGAAAGGAATTCCTGGCAAATTGTTACAATAAAAACTGACTCTTGCCAGTAAGACAACAGGCAAATACAAAATGAAAGAACTGTACTTCTCCAAGCAGTCTCCAAGACTAATTAGTAAGTTTAAGCTGAAGTTCATCGTTTAGTTAGTGAAAAGATTTATTTTCATACATACAGGAACGCGTTGCAGAACAAGCACTTATTGCCATATGTTACACCATCAGACCCGCAGTGAGCGAAGTATTCCAGAGTACAGGCATCTGAGGGTTCCACATATTCACTGCAGTAGCTCTGTAGATAGATGCAGTGTATGCTCACACAAAAGCTCTCGACAACAGGTATGTAAGAAGCACGATGTTAGGAGACCACACACCCCCCCTGAGCTCTCCCCAGTACTGGCCACCAGCAGATGCTAAGAAAAAACTCAGGGACACAGGGCAGGGGTACAGTGGAACATTGCCCTCCAGTCTGTGCCACCATCGTGAATGTTGTTGCAAGAGAGTCTGATAATAGCTTGGGCATGAACTGAGTGCAGCACTACTTGTTGAAACTACCATCAGATAAAAAATGGCAATTTCACCCAATAAGATCTGTGGCAAATATTTTTCAGACAGCTGGATGACTCAGGATTTTCAAATGCTTGGTCACAACATGGTTAGTAAGGATTTATGTGGAAACTGCAGTAAGGAAAGAAATTATGGAAAATAGAAAGATCTGCCTCTTACCTGCTCTGCATCAGCATCTGGAAAAAAGTGAAAAGGAAGGAAATATGATACAAATGCAATTCTTGGGTTCTGTTAGATTTGAAATTAACAACTGTGAATATATGCCCTGAACACTCATGTTTCAATTCAGCGTTTGTTAGCAAATTTCTGAGACAAAAGGCATTTCAGGCAAAATTTTGTACCATATTCTATGTTTACAACATCAATTTTGTAGTACCTCTTCTTTTTTTAATGAGGGTTACAGCCAAGATGGAATAGGATGTACAAAATGGAAGAAAAAAAAACGCATTTTCCTTGGTTCAAAGGATGGAGAAGGACATGTACTCAAAGCTAAACAAGTTATTGAGGCAAACAGGGTCATAAAGCTGGCAAGTACACAGAGGCAGCTTTTTGTATGCCTTGCCACAACAGCTCTTATGTGAGAAGCATTTAGCGAGAAGTAACTTTTATAAATCTTCTACAACCGTTCAGGCTCGCAATTGCATCTCAGTTCAGGATGACTACAAGAAATGTTTGCTTTCATTCAGTAAAATAATTTGTGTTTCTGCAACATTTCAGAGGTTAAATACTGGATGTCTGAGTCTCCGGGTTGTACCACGTACATGTCACTTCTTTCATTATGCATAAACTAGCGCTGAGAGTAGAGCTGTTCCCACAGTTGTTCTTACCCACTCAGTTCTGTTGCTAAAATATTACCCCATAAGTGATAGTCTTTGATGTCAAGTCTTTTCAACACTATCTTTCTAGGAGTAAATAAGTCCTTGCAGAATGAAGCTCTTTCCAGCCTGAGGATGGTTTTTTGTGATTTTAAAAGCAGCCAGCGCTTACTCTAAAGGCAGAGCAGGAGGCAGCGAAGCCACTCACCTGGGAAGCAGCAAAGGGCCAGAGCGAGCAGCAGCACCACGCCTGCCGTCTTCATGGTGGCCGAAGTGTCTGTGTGCAGCAGAGCCTGCGCTTTGCTCGGTAAATGCAGCCTTAATTCTGCCCTCAGGTGGTAACCAGGCTCATATATACGCGCACATGTTTGGTTTTGTGTGTGCGTTTGTGTGTGTTCGTGTTTGGCTTATCGACCCTTACTCTGAAGAAATGTTCCTGCTCCATTGTCAGACTGGCAAGCCTGCTGTAAGCCAGGGAGAGTGCTTCTTCATCAACAGGAGTCACAAGAAGTTTAGATGCATGCTCTGTGTCATTATTTCAAGTGAAATATGTGACAGGTTCCTTCTGACGGACCACAGAAAATTCCTGCGGGGAAAAAGTGCAACCGTACAAACCTAAGCAGCAGCTGCTGTCAGATTTTTCTCTGCCTGCACCTATCAGTGCATATTTATGTGCAGTGCTTTTTCACAAGCAAAACACTGGAAAAAAATGCTTCCAGAGGGGAAAGTCTCTACTTTCATTTTCATGCTTCGTCCCAGTAAAGCATCATTAAGTTATGGTGATACCAGCACAGTAGTGAACCTGGAAGGAAAGCAAGAGTGTCCCAGATTCTGAAGGGAGTCCTTGGGCTGAACAAGAGATGAAGCAACTTTTATGGCCACATGCAAAGAATTTACAATTATTTCCCCTATAAGCCATTAGCATTATGCGTTAGATTTGCAGTGACCGACTGACAATCTTTTGATGACAGAATTGTTGTAATCAAATTTAAGTTTCAAGGAG